GAGTGCTGGGGAAGGCTGTTGCAAAAAGACTTTCAGAATTATGCAGCTTTAATTATTCAATAAGCTTCTCCTGATTTTCAATCAGAATTTATGAATGACCTACCCTGTGTTCAGGGTCACATGCTGTTGTCATTTTAAAAAATTCTGTGTTGTTTATCTTAATTTATGGTGCTGCGGATTGCACAGAAGCAAATGGAGACAAAAAAAAGATGATCTAAATGACAATAAGGCAAGATATGAGGGGTGAGCAGGGGTGAAGGAGGAAAGAAAAGAAAAGAAAAAACTCAATTTATTATTGATGGCACCGAGAACTGCATCCAGTGATTTGTTAAACTGAACATCATTAGGGTAAGGCACAGAGCCAAGGTCCTAATCATTTGCATTCATTAACCACCCCCTGGCATTTTCGTTGGCTTTGAGGATGCCTTGGACAAATGCCAGACAAATTGTTATAATCATTTCCCCTAAATTGCTCCTGGAGTTTCAGTGAGCTGCCCAATCCCGCTCATGGCAGACTTTTATGTATAGTTGTGGCCTAATCGGTTGTTAAACAGCTGTAGTGAGCCACCCCAGAGGTGGTTGCAATTTAGAAGCATCCCAAATCATGTTAAGCGTTTTGAAGATCTGCATAGTTAATGGTGTAGCTAATTCTCACCCCAACCCATATCCCCCCCCCAAACCTGAAATATGCCATTGGAAAGTTTCTAAGCGTGTTCAACAGAAGCCTCTTAAAAACCACCTCAAGATGGTCCTGAATCCCTGGCATACCTGGCAGCAAGTTAGTGTATCAAATCCAGGTCCAGGGGTCAAGCCATACAAGCAAAGTCCAGGAAACACAGTCCAGGGTCTAGCCAAGTCTGAAGTCCAGCAGTCAGAATGCAGTCCCGCATGAAACCCAAATCACAGTCCCATAGAGGTCCATCAACATGGGCAGTTGAGCATGCATAGCACCTCAGTTCTGCTTCCCTTTTGTACTTGGCATGCTGGTTGCAGCATCTGGGCTTGATGAGGCATGTGACCCTCACCTGTCCCAAGCCTTCTCCAGCTGAGGAATCACACCTGGAGCCAGCGAGCCCCACCTAGCCAGCTAGGGAGCTTGGGCTCTGCACCCTTGTATGCCTCAGCCTCCTAGAGTGCCTTTCCCATTGCTCCCTACACCTCAGAGCCCACTGCATTTGTGGAGACAGGCTCCTCTTGTGATGGGTTCTGCTGCTCTGGTTCCTGTACCTTGACCTCCATCCCCTTGCCATCCCCCGTCATCCTGTGAGTACTTCCTTCTCCATCCCCTGTTTGCCCCGGTGTGTCCCATTCCCTGCTACACCCCTCGTGCCGGGATTCTCTTTCTCCTCCCCGTCATCCTGCCAGTTCAATGCAAAGATGTTGGCACGAGACGCAGGTACACCCCTCCCCCTGCTTTAAGACCTTGAGTGTTCTGACAAATGCCTGAACGCAGTTTGTGTGTAGAGCACGTCTCATGATTTGCCCTTTCAGCATTAGGCAAAGTCCTTTTTATTTTCCCCAAGCTTTTTAGATGCAGTCTTAGTCGTGTGGTATGTTTCATTTATGATTTTGTGGTTTTTACTTGTTTTATTTTATGTTGTTTTGTATATACATTTTAATTGTTTTATTCTCTTTGTAAACTATCCTGGGAATATAACCGAAGAGTGGTATAAAAATAAACAAACATGGAAAGTGCACTGTACAAATGTTTCAAAAAGAAACAACAGATGCACGGAGGAGCATATTTATATGTACAAATATGTAAATGCTACATATTATTACCAGCATGCTGATGGTTTGAGTTTCCATTTTGAAAGAAATTAGAACAAATTTCTGTGCCAGTGTTGCAACTTGGATTGTATACGTGTAGTTTGGTCTCTTTTGCGCTCATCATTACCTTCACAGGTAATGGGGCAGGCAGCAGATCAGTGCATGCTGGAGGGGTATAGATTTTTTGGGGAAAACATTTTTATTTTATTTTTTCACATCACAATAAAACAACATAACTCACAACACATCAACCACGTTGCTTAAAAACATCAAATCAAATTCTTAAAGTTCAGTCCAAAAAATATTTCCACATAGTAACATGAGATCTCGGGGCATTATAAACACAATCATATTGATACATATAATCCAAAACTGTTATCACACATTATAGAAAATGTGGTTTAGAATTCCCTTTGGTCTCACGATTCTGGCACATCAGCTTTTCAGCCAGGGCTATTGTCCATGTTCTGGGGTATCATGCTTCAATTTTCAAGTCCAAGGCAGTATGCCATCGCATGGCTATTTCCATATGTGTTGCCACAAGGAGGAACGTTTAAAGTTCTTTACGAGCAATAGGTGGAGCAGGCATGTCATTTATTCCAAATAAAGCAAGTTGAGGGGAAGTTTGTAGATCTGTTTTGTATATTAAACTCAATTCTTTAAATAACAAAACCCAAAATGGGTAAACAGATTTGCAAAACCACCACATACGTATGTAAAATCCAGTCTCCCCACATCCCCTTCAACAGGTTGATGTTGCTCCTGGTATCTTGTGGGATGAATTCACAAGGGAGAAGAGGCCACCTATGTAAGAGTTTCAAAAGATTCTCTTAATTGGGCTGAAAAAGTTTTAAAAGCCCCCCCCCAAAGCATGTTCCATTTTTCATTAGAGATTCTTGAAAGTCTGTTGGAGGGGTATAGATTTAGCTCTATGACCATCAGCTCCCTTTTGGATGTTCTGTACATCAGTGACACCTGCCACTCCACTCACTGAAACAACCCTGGGAGAAGTCAGCTTTGTGGACCACACAGAATTGGCTCCCTTAAATCAGAGCTCTCATCAGGATTCCTGAAGTTAACTTTCTTCACACATCAAACAACAGCTTAAGAGGTAGACACAGTTATCAGGACTGTGGCGTGGGATAAAAGGTTTAACCCCTGCTCTCCCACGTACTGTGTTCCAACATCTGCTATTTCACTTAATGTAGTTTTGCCTAAGATGGGTGATTTGGCTGTCTATCTGTCTCTGAAGGTTGAGCACCTTTGGAATGGATGCCAAGTGCTTTGTAATATTTGTGTGTCCAAGGTGAGTCTTCCCCGGAGCCATCCTCAGCCTTTCATTCTTCGGCCATCATGGGAGATAACTGGAGAGGAAGTGCTTTTCCCCAGCCCCTCTCTAATTATTGCCAAGACCCTGAGCAACAGAGGCACCTTTTCTGCCCTCTGTCACTTTACATCCTGACATTGATTGACTGAGGGCAAAGAAGCAACTGCGGCTCCTGGCTACTACTATGAAGCCAGTGCAGTTGATCAGATGGAAGAGCTGGACTTATCCTTGGTACCTGAGTTCAGATTTCATCTCTTGGTGGCCTTGAGCAAGTCAGACTCATACGCTGACTCTGCTTCACATAGCTGAAAATAGGAGTTAGAGTGGTCTACCTCAAATGGGTATTGTGCAAGTGACCATAGGGATATATACTATGAATAATTGTTTCACAGCAAGAGCTAAGGATCTTTTGTCTGTACTATTTCTTTTGAATCTGAATCGAGCCTTCATTGAGACATCTCACCATTCACTTCCCTCGGCTTTTTGGAGTACCATTTTGTCATGTATTTCTTAATGGTTATGTTTTTGGTTTTTTAAAGTGTATTTGAATGGTCCTACTTTCCCCCTTTTTCTTCTTTCTGTAGAAGTTCCCCAGGGATCACTCCTCTTCTTTTTCCCTCTTCATAATCTCCCTCTTGGTTCCATTATCCATTCATTTGGTCTTCAATACCACCTTTATGCCAAGGACCTACAACTCCACATTCTTTACCTGATCTTTCCCCTTCATCACTTGGCCCCAGCCTCTGCTATCTCTCCTTGGATGAGTGCCCATTGTCTCAAACTTACCTCTGCCAAGTCTGAGCTACTGTTTCCCCTCCTTTTTCTCAGCCATTTCCAACATCATTTTCTCTTGTTCTTGCTAACATTGCAGAGTGTTCTGCTCGGGCTTAGAAGTACTTTTTAAAATTCTTCTCTGTGTTGAGGTTCTTTCAAAGGTACTGTTGATGTTTTCAGATAATTCATATATCTACGATTTGTTCTTTCATTTCTATTGATGCCACTTTTTCTTTTTGTTTTTTATGACATACTGGCAAAGAGAGTTGGGGGTGCTAATTTGGCTAGGACAGCTGGAGGTATTTAACCCTTTCTGCCCATACCATTGTCGTACTATAAATTACCGTATTTTCCGCTCTATAAGACGCACCAGACCACAAGACGCACCTAGTTTTTGGAGGAGGAAAACAAGAAAAAAATATTCTGAATCTCAGAAGCCAGAACAGCAAGAGGGATCGCTACGCAGTGAAAGCAGCAATCCCTCTTGCTGTTCTGGCTTCTGGGATAGCTGTGCAGCCTGCATTCGCTCCATAAGATGCACACACATTTCCCCTTACTTTTTAGGAGGGAAAAAGTGAGTCTTATAGAGCAAAAAATACGGTATCTCCCTTAAGCTGCTGTAGAGATTGCAAGACTGCTGTGGAGCAGTCCTGTGAATTGTATTTCAAGATTTAGTAGGTTCCTATCAAGGACCAGGAAAAGAAATTGCTGGTGACAGTTGTGCAACAGACAAATTAGCATCTTCTTTATGCCATGACACTTCACATCTCTGAAAATGTGTTGTCCGAACAGAGCCTTATGCCATAACAGGACATGACTTGGGAGATGTGTGACCAATATCTTCCACAGTACTTAAAAAAAACCTTTTAGTAGTCATATCCAGTGAAGGAATTGGATTGGGAACATGGCACTGTAGAGAGAGGGCTTACCACATTCCACTGTTACCATATTTCTGATTTAAAAACTACCCCTGAAACTGCTGTGCAGATACTACCAACTTTGGCATCAGACAAAGACATGTCTCTCCTCCTGGGTATTTGCATGTTAAGAATCATAGAACTGTAGAGTTGGAAGGGACCCCGAGGGTCATCTAGTCCAACCCCTGCAATGCAGAAATCCTGCCCACATCCATCGCTGGCTGGACTCGAACCATCAACCTTCTGGTTAACAGCCAGACATGCTGACCCATTGCACCAAGAATCTCTGCAGCAGTTGATTGTCTCTTCCTGAGTTACTCTTTGGTGTTCAAGGCTACATTGGGGGCAGGGGGAGGGTGGAGAGAAGCAGATGAAGGGAGGTACTTCTTAAGGTCTGATCACCCTGCTGGTTTTATATTTGATTTCTTAAAAATGATTTTGTATTGTGTATTGGAATTTTATTTGTGCAAGTTAATTTGTAGAAAGCCACCAATAAATTAAATACATATGTACGTTCAAAGTATTTGTCCTACAGGGGAAATCATAAATGCATCATATAAATACCTATTTGTTTTCCCATATGGGGCAAGGAGCAGTTTTAGGTGGTGGAGTTTCAGCTGTAACTGGCAGTAGAGTTGCAAGAGGGGAGGTTAACACCTCTCTTCCTGTCCTTCATGGCCACTCTGATTTCCCTATACACACCAGGCTACTATTAATCTTTACAATAAGAAAACAAGAAGTAAATAATTCATTCAAGCCATGTCTCCAGGATGCCATAAAAGTGAGGGACAGTTGTTGAGCGCATGGAAGGCTCTTTGTGATCCACAACTGCTCTTGCTAAAAAATATTGGTTTACTTAGGTGGCAGGGTGGTACAGTCCCTTGAGGGGTGCTACCTTTTTCTTCTAAATTATCTTTATTTCAGTTTTCTGCTGAAGAGGGCTGGAGCCTCGCATTGCTTCGCTTGCTCACCTAAGCAGCCTTAGCTGATATTGAAAAAAACCAAGCAGAAGTACTTTCTGTAGCCTTAGGAGATCTAAGCCATTTTGACCAGGCTAGCAAGAATTCAAGGAGGACACCCTGGAGGTCTCTTCCTCCCAAGTTATATTTATCTACCAACTTGTGCTGCTACCAGCGAGTTTGATTCAGAAGTGAAGTGCTCAAAACTAGAGTCCCATTCAAGTGTTCAAATAATGCGTAAAGACATAAAATGTGTAGAAGGTTGGGGGTGCATGTGCAAGGGGACCAATGCCTGTGATATCTTAATCCCCGCTGCTCCATACCAGACCTTCCCATGTTGAGTGGAAAGGTCTGGATGGCATTTGTATGCACAACTGGCTGAACATGCTTACAAGCCCCTGTCCTGGTCTGAGAACCCTGTGTTACCCTGCAGTCTTGGAGAGGTTTTTAAAATACACTTAGCCCAACAGTGGCTGGGAATGCTGTGGTCCTGGCTGGTGTGCGTGTCCTCATGTTCACTACATACTTCGTGAAATTATGCTCTTGCATATTCTTTGAACCTCTGAAAAGGGCTTAGCGGCCGTGCAATTTATGCTCCTCCAAGTCGCCCTTCCTGAACAGCAATCCACAAACGCATTCACCATGGATGTCATGGAAACTGCCCCTCGCAACTCATGTCTCTCTTCCTCACTTGACAGGACTGAGTGAACTCAGAAGGATGTGGCTCAGGCAGGCATTTAAAGTTTACTGCTGTTTGTATCATTAACACAAATTCTGAAGATGTGGACAAGCAGGAAGCTGGAGAAGCCACTCTGAAGAAGCATTTGGGGTAGGTACCACTAATCTTATCTTTGATAATTGGAGCTAGTAGATTCCAGACTGAAAACAAGTGGGCAGAGTCTGTTTATAACTTTTATTTTAAGTGTGTGCAGGTTGTATTTAGACATGGCAATTATTGTGTTAGTTTTCTTGGTTATAATGCTAGTGCTTCTGTCCCAGTTTCTAAAGTTCCTTTTATTCTCCATTGCCTGTTGCATGTGGATTTTTGATTGATATACCCCTATTTCACACTGAATTTCCTTCACACCAGTGGGTGTGTTGTGACACAACAGCAGACGTCATCAGACATGTTGCCACCCCTCCTTTATGTGCACATGCACTTCTGTTCCCCCAAGATCCATCCATATGAAGAGCTGGAATACCTTCCCAAATTTTGTCCCACCATTTTTTGGTTTTACAGGGCTGCAAACGGATTTTGTCTGGAAGCAGTTAATGTGGAAGTGAGCTCTAAACTTAGATTCTGCTAGATTTCTGGAATTCTGAATGCAGCCTCTATCTCTCATGGTTCAGGTTAGCAGTTTGCAATGTTAGAATGAAAATGTTTTCTTAGTCTAACTTTGCTGGAAACATCCAGAGAAAAGGGAGGAGCAAGGGAAAAAATTGTACAGGAAATGATGTTATATCTTTTGGAATTATTATTAGTATTTATTATAGCTTCTGCCCTTTTCTTTGATGGGAACTCTAGCTCAGGCTAGCCTCTTAAAGCTTAGAAGAGCAGGGCAGCATTCTGAAATGGTAACCGCTATTTGTAAGATTGTTCAGTCAATTACTGGCATTACAGATGACTGAAGACCAAACTGTCTTTATCAAGCCTGATCCAATGAATGCTTACTCCAGAGTGATTGGGTCTCAGGGCTCATCTATAGCTCAGTTGGTTAGAGCGTTGTGCTGATAATGCCAACGTTGCAGGTTTGATCCCCTTAAGGGACAGCTTCATATTCCTGCATTGCAGGAAGCAGGACTAGATGATCCTCAGGGTCCCTTTCAACTCTGTGATTCTGTTCTATTCTAATATTGTCCCACCACTTTCCCCTGGGAAAGTGTGATCTTTACCACTCAGCTGGAGCAAACATCAATTCGCAGACTGACATTTGCTCTAATAATTCAGCGCTAAATAGCAGGCTTTCCTGAGGAAGCCAGCAGAGCAAACAGAAAACTGCTCGGACTCATGCTTTGTAGGCATGGGACAAGCTGAAAATCTCTTGGACATCTGCTGAAGTGTGGGTGAGCCTTAATTGAGTTCAGTTGAGTTTATTCTCATGTAAGTGTGCATGGATTACTGTCTTAAAAGAATACAGTGAGGAATCAATGTTTGTAATCATGAAAGTTAGGAAATGTTATAATTGGAATGGAGAGGGCTCTGTGTCTCAAGAAAAATTGTGTGTGCGAGAAAACTTGAAACTATTTGCTTCATATATAAATAAAATACTTTTTTACCCAGAAACCAGAGATGCTTTATAATACATGTGGTCCTATTATGCATTTCCTGTTCCCATTTTGCCCATTTCTGAGCAAATTCCTCTGCTGAAAGTGATACAAACCACCACTTTGAGTTTCCATTGTTGGCTCCTGTATTAATTCTCTCACCTGTGTTGCACAGTTGAAGTTTTCACTCTTCACCTGCTGTTATCAATTGCCTTCCCTTCCCCCCTGTAAAGCATTGAGGGACTTTTCGTGCAAAACGAGCTTTCTCTGTGGAGTTTATTCAATCATGTTTACTGCGAAGGAGGAATTTATACAACCAAGTGGAGCAGGGTGGGCGTGCCTCTTTGCACTTTATGGAGCAGTGTCTCTATCCACAGGGCACTTATTAAAATGGGGAAGCCAGAATTTGAACAAGGTGTATTGGGTTGGTGTTTAATGGTGAAACGGCCTGCCTAGTCTAGGTCATTACACTGATAGAATAATTGCATGTTAGGTTTATAGAGGGCCTTTATTAACCAAAGAATAGTGAAGTATAGTTGATAGGCTTCTGAGATGAAACCACAGCTTGAGTGAAGCACATTAGCCAGTTAACAGCTGCACCACAATGGTTCAGAGTTGCCCTAAGGGTCATCTAATCAGTGTAACCATCTGCGATGGCAGGTTTCCGTAAACATAATCCTTATCTTCAGTTATCTAGACTTTGGTATCCTACTTGAAAAATAAAGACAGGGTACATGCAGTTTCTCTCAACTTTCCATCTTGCATACACACCAGTTTATGGAGTTAGCTGGTCTGGTAGCTTCCTCTGATATAGGCTGCTCTACAATCCTCCTTCCTAGCTGTGGTCATCTCCACCTGGAAACTCAGACCTCCAACAAGAGGTTATCAACCTTTTTGAGTCCTTGACCAACTACATTCTTTCTGTCCCTGTGGGGCTCAGGGGTTGGTTATGTCACCCCTTGCCTGCAGAGCTGGCAGCCTCTCATCCTTTTTCGATCACTCTTGTAGAGTGTTTCCTCAGCCGCCTCTCCTCTCCCCTCTCCTTGGGAGTCCTCTGGGCAACCGCTGCTGCTGCCCCTGGTCTCTGAGCTGCCCCCCACGCCCCAAAGAGAGGTGCCTCCTCACACTGCCCCACAGGGGCCTGGGACTTGTCCATACATTCCCAACAGCAAGGGCTGGCAGATTGGCTGGCTGGGCTCCCTCGCTTACTTACTTACTTGGAGGCCACCTCAGCTCCTGGCAACCAGCACCCCCTGGCCAGCCCCAGAGGCACCATTCACCTGGGGAACTTGTAGCCAGGGCTACTGCAACAAATAGCTGAGCAAGCCTTTGGGAGGTGGAGACGTGAGAGGGCATCAGAGGAAGGAGGGAAGGAAGGAAAAAAGGACAGAGACCAGTGTTACTTGAGCACCCTGACCATAATTTAAGGCACCTCAGCATGCCACGGAACACCGGTTGAAAACCACTGCCTCCAACCATAGTGATCCAAGAAGAAGCTCACCAAGATTCACAAGACAAATCCTTGGTTATTCCAAAGAGGGCAGCCCCCAAAAGCATTCAAGCAGATGTGCCAGCTAGACTTCTCAAGGTTCAGACCTTAAAGATGTAATTAAGAGAACATGTGTAACTTTGAGGCCAAAATTAGTGAGATATAGATGGTTTCATTTGATTCACAAACCTTTATAGTTGAAGAAGATCCATGGTGCCACCCTTTCATGTGTGTTGCTTAGCTGAAATGTTATCCTCAAATGGCTGCCGTGGGGTGGGATTTCAGACAAATGGGAAACAATCTCTGTTTTAGAGTCAGTTACGGAAGAGGTACACATCCTATTGGTTTCAATAGGTGTCCCATCCTATTGGCACAAAACACACAGACATTCTACTATGCTACTGCAGAACTGCCTGACAGGCAGATGCAGTCTATCTCCAGAACACGATTTTTATATACGATGGTACCTCGGGTTAAGTACTTAATTTGTTCCGGAGGTCCGTTCTTAACCTGAAACTGTTCTTAACCTGAAGCACCACTTTAGCTAATGGGGCCTTCTGCTGCTGCCATG